CTTCTCTGACTGCATGCGGCCGCCGCTTGTATGCGCCAGTCTGAGTCTGCGCTGCCATGCAGTCACGAGTCGCTCACGTGAAGCCTGAGTCGTCAAGGCAGAAAACAAGACATGGGGAGGTCAAGACAAGGGCGTCGGGAATCTTGGCGAGGCCTTTTGCTTTCGACAGCCGCCATTCGTCCATAGCAGCCGCGACAATCGGGAGAGGAGAGGAGAAGAGACGTATGCCCAAAGGCGAAGGAAGGCCATGCGTGATCGGACACTCATGACTCATGACTCACGACTGCCGAGACAACATCTTCACTTCTTGGACAGATCGGGCTGCGCAATGCTGAGTCCGTGGACTCGCGCAAGGGATCAGCGACTGAGCGCGCATGAAGGCAAAATCGGGCTAATCTGAATCAGGATGCAATGAGGAGTTTCAGCAGAGATGAGATCGAGACGCTTGGGATCAGCTGAGGTGCAACAGTCTCACAGGCTTCCACTGCAATGTTGTCAGTCTTTTGACGCAGGACACGCAGAGAGCCTGATGGATGCTTTGTCACCTCTTGGCTCAGCAGCAAGCTCCATCCTCGCGGTACTATGCCCTGCAGAGCTCAGCATTCCTCCGAATGCGCAGCACAGATAGGCTTGCCGGTAAGCCTTGGCGCTAGCATCCACGTCTACTTTACGGTACAGCACTAGTACCTACTGTCGGCTGCTGTATCTGCCCAAAGCATCGTGAACTGGAAGTCTAGCCACGGCAAGATCGATTGGGCAAGAGGCAAGAAATGAGCAGCCGCCGGCGGCGACGTGGCGCAAAGCGTCGGAGATGGGTAGCTGATTCCAGACACCTTCCATTCGTGTGCCAACAGCAAGATAAAGGCATCGCAGCTGATGAGCCCACGCCTTCCTCGTCTCTCCTCCTCTTGAATTCTCGCCGTAAAGTAGAGCACATCAGACGATCCTTCTTCTGATCGTACACCTTCGCGTTTCCCGCTCCAGCTTCGGCACCACTACCCCCCATCAGAGTGGCTTCCTTAGATTCATTGTCAAACAGGTACTTGCTATGATCTTCGATCCGCCGAGGAACAACATGGAAGCGTCCGTCTCGAGTGCCCAATTTCCGCCGAGCAAGGCCTCAGCTCCCTCCAGTGCTGTTTCAAACATTCCTGCTACTCAGTGTGATGGGTCAGC